TTTTTTTAATCTGACATTTTAATCTACACTAATGAAAGAGAAAGATGCAAATTGACCGTACCTTTGTGATGCCCACCAGCCAATCAGGAGTGAGTATGCAAATTAACCCAAACAAATATGGTGGGCTAATTTGCATACATAGGCCTGAGCGGCTGGGGGGGGGCGGGCGCGGGATGCAGGCATTCCACACTGTCCTAGCCGCTCCAGGCCTCTGGGCAGCGTGGGAAGGTGGGAAGGTGGCTCTGGGCCTGAGTGAAGGCAGTGCTGGCAGCAAGGGGAAGGAAGGCCCATTCTTGCATGACTCTTCATGCATCGGGCCTCTAGTTCAATACAGTCATTTTGAGATTCATCCATGTTTATCAGTAGTTTGTTCTTTTTATTGCTCAGTAGTATTCATTGTACGAAAGGATCACAACTAGTTTATCCATTCACCTGATGAGAGACATTTGGGTTGTTTCCAGTTTTTTATTATTATAAATAAGGAGGCTGTGAAATTCACATACAAGTCTTGGTGTTGACATAAGCTTTCATTTCTCTTGCAAATGAAATACCCAGGAATGGCTAAGTTGTATGGTAGGTGTATGTCTAACTTTTTAAGAAATTGCCAGTTCCCTTCCAAAGCAGTTGTTTTAATAAAAATGTTTTGTTAATAGGCATTGCATGTAGTTGGTACATCATTCCAAAGAAACAAAAGGCCTACACTGAAAAGTTTTAATCCCTCTATGATCTCATCTCTTCTCTCCTGGCCTCTTCTACTTCTTTCGTTAGTTTTTGGGGAAGCCTTCCAGAGTTTCATATGGAAATATTAGCAGATATGAATATTCTTATTTTCTCCCTTTCTTACACAGAAAAAAGCATACCATATATAGCATTCTGTACTTTGCTTTATTCATTTCACAGTCACTTGCCTGTGTTTTCCATGTCAGTATGTAGAACTGCTTTGTTCTTTTAATAGATGCATTAGAGGCCCAGTGCAAGAAATTGTGCAAGACCCAGACCCACCCTGTGTGAGACACAGGCCCCGCCTCCACTGCCCCAGCCCCACCAGCCCCATGCAAACTCAGCCTGCGAGAGGTGCTCCATGCACCTCCTGATGACCAGTTGTCTGCTTGTTCCGTGGTTACGGTGTGACGACCACAGGCCTTTTATGATATAGATAATATTCCATTGGGTAAATTTACCATCTCCTATGTAAGGATATTGGGTTGTTAGCAATGAAAAATGATGTAGTGAATTACCTACATATGCTATTACAGCTATGCACTAGTGTATCTGTAAGACAACATTTTGGAAATAGGATTGCTGTATCAGAGAGCAAATAGATTTATAATTTCGGAAGATGCAGCCAAATTGCTTCCCGTAGGGATTGTATTGATTTGCAACCCATCAGCCAATACGTGAGAGTGTTTCCCACAGCACTGCCAATTCAGGGTGGTCGTGAAAGAGATTGTGAATGAAGCCGAGCGTCTTTTCATCTGTTGAAGACCTACTCGAATTTCTTTTTTTCATGAACTTATTTTTCATGTCCTTTGCCCATTTTTCTGTTGGATTGGTTATCTATTTCTTATCAATTTCAAGGAGCTCTTCACATATTAGAGGAATTATCTCTCTTGTTACATGAATCACAAATAGGTTTCTCAGATTTTTGTTTGCTTTGACTTGTGTATGGGTGGTTGCTGTTGTTGCCATACATGGGTCTTTGTTTTCTATGCCATTGAATTTCTCCATCTCTTCCTATTCTAGATTTTGAGTCATACTTTAAAAAGCCTCCCTTACTCAAGATTATGAAGGAATTCACTTATGTTTGCATCTAGTTCTTATAAGATTTCAGTTTTCCAATATAAAAGAATTTGGGAGTTTCTTTAGGTACATGGCATGACATTTCTACATACACTTAATTTTTTTCCCAGATGACTCTTCAGTGGTTTGACATAATTTTTTTAGAAGCCCATCATTACCTCACTGATTTGAGATACCAGCCTTATCATATACTAAATTTCTCTGTGTGTTTAGGTCTATTTTGGGGCATTTTCTTTTGCTTGATTGGTTAGTGTGTCTGCTCATGAGCCAGTAACACATCGTTTTAATTATTCCAGCTTTAGAATAGGATTTAATATCTGGAATTGTTGGTCCTCTCTGATTGTTCTTCTTTTTCAGTTTCCATGGCTACTCTTTCTCGCCCTTAATTGATGCTTACTTTAGAATCAGCATTTAATGTTCCAGAAAGCAAAGTTATTAATATTTTTATTGAGATCACATTACATTTATAAATTAACTTGGAGGGAATTGACAAGAGGTCAAGTCTTCCTGCCTAAGCTCAGACTGTGTTTTCCCATTTGCTCAGTTCTTTTGAGCACTTCATGTATATCTTAATATGCTTAACATATGGATTTTGCGCATTGTGGTATATTGCAGAAATGACCATAATCCTCCATGCCTCCCTGTACCATGCCCTTTGCTATGTGACTTTGCAGCTCCTTTCATTAAGAGATGGAGTCCTTTCTGCACCTGTTGGTTTTAATCAGTAGAACATGGGGGAGGTAACACTGTGCCAATTCTAACCCCAGCCCTCGATTGGCTGTGCGTGCATCTACTCTCATTCTTGGAATCCAGTACAGCCACCACGTGAACAAGCTCAGGCTAGACTGCTGGAGACTGAGGGACCTGTGGCCTCATTGCCCCCATATCCCCAGCTAAGAGAAGCAGAATTCAGCCCCCAGAAGCAGGGCCCTCTAGCTACAGTTAACTGGCCACAGATGCATGAGTGAGACCAGAAGAACCAACCAGCTGAGCTCAGCCCAGTGACTGACCAACAGAAGTGTGAGCTAAGAAGTTTCAAGCCATTACGTTTTGAAGTGGTTTGTAATGAGGCAAAAAGTACCCAGTGCACATAGTTATTTTAAATCTTATTTCTAATTAGATTGTCATTTTGGATGAGGGTCTTGCAGGGGTGAGGAGGAGTGGGAGAGGGTTCCAGGTAACCTTCCACAGATTGTAATCCAAGGACTCGGTCTGATAGCCAAGAACTTTTCTCACAGGTGCAGCTCCTCCTGTAGCCACACCTTCCCCTCTCCAAATGCAATGGATTTGGGTGGGCTTCTCCTCCAACCCCGTGCTCCCCCAGTCCCTTCTTGATCAAGTGACACCAGTGCCTGCCTTCCAAGGCTTGCTTTTGCTGGTGCTTTCTGAGAATTGCCACTCTGGGCAATTTTCACGGTTTCTTTTTCCATCTCACTCAGCTTTCAAGCCTGTTCAATCTAGCATCTCCTCTTAAGGTTGGAGGAGGGGGAGTTTCTGCCTCCACTGGCGTTACCCAGGATCTGCTGCCGCTGGGCCCCTGCCCCAGCTCTGTCCCTCATCCTCTCTTGTTCTCCTTGTAGGACTCAGGGTGGAGTTCATGTTCACCAAGATGGTCTGACAGTGACTTCTCCAGTCCTGATGTGGGTCCAGGTGAGCACAGGGATCCCTGTCCCTCTCCTGTCCCCCGCCTGCCTTACCAGCCGACCTGGTGACTTGCTAGGAAGCCCAAAGGTGGCAGCTCGTGAGAGCATCTGTTGAGGCCAAGTCCTCACGGGGAACTGGAGGCCGTGTGGTTCCTAGGGCCAGGCCTGGCCTCAGCTGGTGTCAGTACTGAGCTTCTGGGTTCGGGAGCCATGGCAGCTGGAAAGTCCAGCCAGTCTCCACCTTCCAGATACCACAGAGCAGACCTTTCCCAAATACTCAGGCCTGTGACCACCCTAATGCCCTGAGGTCACACACAGCCTTGGGTTCTTACTGCTTGGTCCCCAGACCCCTCCTCCCCCGGAATGGTGGCTGGTGACCTGCCCCATCAGGTTCACGCAGGCCTGCCCACTCAAGACCAATGAGATAGGAAGATGCCTGTTGCCAGATCCAGGTGACCCATGGGGCCACAGGACCGAGGGTGTGGACCGCACGGACAGGCAGGACCGGGCTGGGAGCTGCCTGATACGCCACAGGGGACGCGAAGCCCTGACACTGGAGGCCAGCCAAAGGCAGCACTGAATGTGTCTGCCCAAAGCTTTTTCAATCCTCCAATACCCGTTTAACCAAATTCCTGTAGGAAATTCTTTCTGTTGAGATAACTAGTCTGATTTCTTATTTATCAGCCTGACCTTGACTCACACTGGAGGACTGGTGTCAAGGATGACTTTCTAGCCGTAACCGGTTTGGCTCAGTGGATAGAGCGTCGGCCTGCGGACTCAAGGGTCCCAGGTTCAATTCCGGTCAAGGGCATGTACCTGGGTTGCGGGCACATCCCCAGTAGGGGGTGTGCAGGAGGCAGCTGATCGATGTTTCTAACTCTCTATCCCTCTCCCTTCCTCTCTGTAAAAAAATCAATAAAATATATTTAAAAAAAGGATGACTTTCCACCAGGCAGGCTGGCCAGAATGTGCTTCAGAGGGCTGAGCCAGACCGAGGGGCAGTGGTGGAGGGGTTGGAGGTGACAGGCAAGAGTTGGTGTCTAGAGGTCCCAGTGATGAGGTCCAGACCTTGATTTGGGGGTGAGCAGTGGGTAGAGAGCCAGGCTTGGGGTTGGGGATGGTTTGGGGGTGGTTTCTAATTATGAGCAGCCTCTAGGATTGGACAAGCTCTAGTTTTGCCCATCCTTGCCCCAGCTGCACCACACTCCCTGCAGGGGGTTGGCAGGCAGAGTTAGAGCTGACAGCCACAGCCAGGATTGTGAAAGGAGTCCTCCCTGCCCTGGGTGGGATGGCGGGGTCAGCCAGGAGCTCAGGTGGCTCCTCTGCCCGTAAGGAAATCCCTGCCTGTGGTGACTCTAATTCTTGCTAGGAAATCTTAGGGGAAGTGTTGAGCTCTGCTGGGCACTGCCATCTGTGCCCCCCGGTGGGGGAGGGTGGTCTTGTGAGGAAGAAGATGCCAACTGGATGGTGGATGGTGGAGGGGCTGGGATAAACGGCCACCCCCTGCCTACTGTCCCTCCCGCCTGGACATGGGGACTGTGGGCCTGGAGCCCCCTTCTGGTGGGAGCCCTCTGCTTTGCTTTTCACTTCTCCATGGCAGTGAAGTGACATCATCAGTACGGTGGGTCGAAAACACAAATCAACGAAACCAACATTTGAGCCGCCGTGCTTTCTCTCTTCCCGAGTGCTTGGACGTCACACCTTGCAGAAGCAGAAGTTAAGGATTAGTGGTTGGCGCTTCCGTTTTCTCAAAATAGCTTTGGCATAGCCCTGGCCAGATGGCTCAGTGGGTTGGAACATCATGCTGTACATCAAAAGGTTGCGGGTTTGATTCCAGGTCAAGGCACACACATACCTAGGTTACAGGTTTGATCCCCAGTCGGGGCGCTTGCTGGTCCCTGTGTCTCTCACACCCATGGTTCTCTCTCATTCATTGTATCCGTTCCTTCTTCGTCACCTCCGCTGTACTGGCAAGCCCTTCCGTATCCGTTCTGAGGCTTGTGTGGTTGTCTGGTTCCGTGGATCGCTACAGTCACGGTGCTTTCTGTTTTCCTTCCCAGGCTTTGGATATCCTCCTGGAGAAGATGAGGGCTTCGGGCTTCGACTTTTCTCGAGTCCTCGCCTTGTCTGGGGCAGGCCAGGTCAGTCTGCAGCAGCCCGCACGGGCCACGCGAGGGCTGCTGTCTAGGGCAGGGGAGCCGGTGCGAGGTGCCCGCTCCCCGAGAGGGAGGGTGCTCGTCCTTGAGACCCACTGACACATTTCATTGTTGTAAAAGCCCCTGTAGCCCTTGGAGGGTATATGGCTTGGCTCCTCGCAGAAGGATCTGAGACAGTTCTTACGATTGCGCATGAAATCGGACAGTGGGTGAGGAGGACTGAGGGGATGGAGGGATTGGCATCAATTTGTGATGACCGGGGCACTAACATGGCATTTCTGTTTCCTGGAGGTAAAACCAAAGGCAGAAATTACACTAACAATGGTAGCAGTTTCAGTAGTAGAGGTGCTACTACTGACAATGAATGTGTGCTGGCCGCAGTGCTGAGCCTATGAGATAAGTTATCTGAGTCCTCATACCACTTCTACGAGGCGGGATCCCGGAGTGGTCAGCACAGGGGGTCTGGTTTGGTCCCCAGCTCTGCTGTTTTCGGCGGTGACCTGGGGCACGCCACCTAGCTCTCTGCTGCCTCCTCACCCTCATCTGTCATAGGCTCAATGTGAGTGTCAAATGCGTAAAATGTAACTGTGCCTAAGTATGTAAAACCTTTAAGCTTTAGCTACTACTTTTATTGTCATTGCCATTGAAATGGGGAGGAGGGGGGGAGTGGGCCACAGAGAGGCGACGTCACTTGTCTAAGGTCACTTCGCTCCCTGCTGGATTAGCCCTCATTAGGGAGTGCTCACTCATTTCTCAGAAGACGCCTCTTCCCCCCGACCGGACAGGAATTGATTGCTTTTGTCCTTGTTAAACTAAGCAGATTCCCTGGGTGCTCTTGTCTGCTTCTCACCTGATCCCGGGCCCAGACACCCTCTCCCTGCTAGGCATCCCCTTCACCCCCATGGCCGGGTGCCCTATGACCACCGCAGACGTACCACGACCCAGACTGAGTACCCATCTGTCCCCATACGTCTTCCTCGGGCTCCCTGCCTCAGGTGTCATCTTCCCACCCCCACATCCAAGGGTCCCCACGTTGCTTTGTACACGACTCCTGAATCTGCCACCTCTTCTCCAACTCTGCTTCTGTTGCCCAGGCCTAGTGCCATCATTTTCCTCTGGGCTTCGGCTCCAGCTTCCCTACCTGCAGCCAACCTTCTCCAAGGTTCCCACGGGCCCGTTCATGCATTCGGCCCGGCCACATCCCGCTAAGCCAGAGTCCCCACACCTCCAGGACGAACCCCAACCTCTGAGCATGGGCATTGGGGCCCTGATGCTGCCGCCTTCCCCTCCAGCCCCATCACCCACCTCCTGCCCCAGCTCGGGCCCACTGCTTAGGATGCCGCCCTTCCCTCCACCTGGCCCTCCTGTCTGTTCCCGCAGCCCTACCTGCACTGCCAGGGTTTTCTGATTATACATGTGTATCTTCTTTCCTGACTCAACCTCGGTGTCCTGCAGAATAGGGACAGTACTGTCTGATGCATCTGTCCTATGCCTGGCATGATCTAGGTGCTCAGTGTTTGTGGAATGAATGGATGGGTAAGGAGGGTGGGGAACGTCTGGCCCGCAGACCGTAGAAGGCCTGCAAAATCATTGGGTCCGGCCCTGCCAAGGCATTAGGGGCTAGCTAATTAAATGTTCGACCAAATAGAGCAGGCTCATTTTTAAGTTGATAATTTTGTGTGGCCTGAGAATGAAGTTATTAATATCCAAATGGCCCTTGGTGGGAAAAAGGTTCCCCACCCCTGGAAATGATTGGATGAGTGAATTTCAGGTAATATTCTGAGCAATATACTTAAATCCAGTTTTACCAAAGCACCAATATCCAGACTGACCGTTCCTTCTTGGAGTCTTCCTACAAGTTGTGAGGTGGATGGGGCAGAGTCCCCCCCATTGTATAGACAGGAAAACCAAGGCTCCTGAAGACGATGAGCTCTGTGGAGCCATCTTTGCGTGTGGTTTGGGGTCTTTCTGTGCTTTCTGTGTCTCCTGAAGCCTGTGACACCAGTGTGTGGCCTAATGAGCATGTACTTGGCTTTCCCTGGACAGCAACATGGAAGTATATACTGGAAAGCTGGGGCCAGTCGGGTGCTGACAAGCCTGTCACCAGACCTCCCGTTACACGAGCAGCTGCAGGTAACTGGCCAGGATGGGGGAGTCCAAGAAGCTTCTCTAGAGGGGAGAGGAAGGCCCTGAGGTGTGAGGCTTTGAGCATTGTCGGGGTGTAGGAAGGTGGCTTGGGTGGTAGTCCTGTGAGTCGGGTCTGCCCTGCCCCCCCGCAGTGGGCATACCTGGTGTCTGGACAAAGGGTCAGGTGCTAGCAGCCCTCATCACACGGCCCCTCCTGCCCAGCCTGACTCCGGCTCATGGCCCCTTGGGAATCTCCTCATGGGGCCGGATGCCTCCTGATGCTGGAAGCCGGCTCTGGCTTCTCCTCTCCTCCCAGGCTCCAGGAGCCCTGGCAGAGTGGCACGAATCCTTTCCCGCCCACATCTACCATCGCCTGGGTCACTCGGGCATCCTCCCCAGAACCTTCCACCTCGAGCTTTCTGGGAGAGATCCCAGTGGGCCAGGCTGAGGTGTGGGCGTGGTGGGCTTGCCCTTGGGTCTCCCAAGGTCACATCCAGGGAAGAGATACCCACACCTGCTCAGAGGCACCCGCACCAGCGGGCAGAGCGCAAGCCTGAGTCCTGGCCCCTTCTCTCCAGGCCTGTTTCTCCATCCGCGACTGCCCGGTGTGGATGGACTCCAGCACCACAGCCCAGTGCCGCCAGCTGGAGGCCGCCGTGGGCGGGGCCCAGGCTCTCAGCTGCCTCACCGGCTCCCGTGCCTACGAGGTGAGCAGGGCTCGCCTTGGGCTGGGCTGGGCTGGGGCTGGGACCCGGAGGAAGGTCTGGTAGTTGGCTCCAGTCCCTTTTCCCTGGGTGTCTGGGAGGACACAGCTGGTGGCCGGTCCCTGTGGGGATCACATGAGGCCGGGTGGGGTCCCAGAGGAGCCAGGACTAGGCTCTCTGGCCCCGGGTTCCGATCAAGGCCGTCCTGCCTCCTTGTGCTGCCCGTCGAGCAAGGACAGGCCTCCCCGGTGTGTGCCCAGGTGTGAACATGGCTGTGCTCCTCGCGTCCGCCGGGGTGACGAAGGCGCCTTGCTTTCAGCCTCTCTCACTCCGGTTTTGGGTAGTTTTGAAGCTGAAAGGACTCAGCGCTTGTAAGATAATACAGTTTCTGGCAAAGTGAAAAAATGAAAAGAGTGCCTGTTTCCTGCTGGCCTCAGCGAAGGCCCCACCCCACCCACGGGTGGCTGTCACCGGCCCGGCCCCAGCTGGGGTCATGCGACTCTCGCTGGAGCATAGGTTTGGGGGACAGGGCCAACCCCACCGGGGCCACCTGAGGTCAGAAGGATGCGGGTGGGGAAGGGACCCCCCGAGTCCCCTGCACGGGTGCCGTGATCAGAGCAGCCTCCCTGAGTGTCAGTCCTGAGCGAGGCTTGGTCACGCAGGTGGCCAGCAGGTGCCAAGCACCGCTGAGGCCTTTTTATTTA